GCATAACCCCAAATACGACGACAACTACAAGTATAACCCTAAATACGACAACAACTACAAGTATAACCCCAAATATGACGACAACTACAAGCATAACCTCAAATACGACGACAACTACAAGTATAACCCTAAATACGACAACTACGAGTATAATCCTAAATACGACGACAACTACAAGTATAACCCCAAATATGACGACAACTACAAGTATAACTCCAAATACGACGACAACTACAAGTATAACCCCAAATACGACGACAACTACAACTACGATCACAACCCCAGATACGACTACTGAAACCAAAATTACAATCATAGCCATATCTGTGGCTACTACAGCCATAAACACAACACCGATTACTACCACAACTAAAACTGCGGCATCTATTTCAGAATCTTCAAAGAAAACTGGGGGGACTACTACTACTGTTCAACCGACTACTGTGGTAAAATCAGAAGAAAGTACTCTATGGAGCAGTGAAATTTCGAAAATTGAATTCACGCAAACAGAAAAGTCATCTGAAAGTCTGAGTATGAATATTTTCATGGAAAAACTTTTATGCAACTTTTGCAATAAAATTATACTTTAAATTTTCCGAGTATTAAAAGTGTTCGAATACTATTTGCACATTAATTTTTATTATTTAATAAAAACATTACAAATGCGATGAGGATGTATCTTCAAATTTTCTTCTTGACGTAGAATTTTTTTTTGACGTTTTTTCCAATTTAATTTTTTCTTTCAATTTCATTCTTAATTTCAGTTAATACTTCATTTTATTTTTCAACGGAAGCTGGAAAAATTACTAGAAGAAAAAGTAAGTGACAAATTATTAATATTATCAATGTGTTCGGTCGGTTTCCATATAAAATGCCATATAACTTATTTTAAGTAAAGATATGTAACTTTGCGTTACTCAGTTCAAGCTATCTGTTAGTAATACTTACTTTTTTGAGAGTAAAAAAATAATTGTTTTCCAGAAAATGTATTTAACAAATATATATTGCAATCACATACTTTTTTGCTTACTAAATTTGTTTGTTAACTAATTGTAGGTTATAAGATTAAACAGAAAACTACGCCTTTATGGTATAAATATATTTTTACTCCAAGTAAGTATCTCTTTTTTACTGTGTACACAAGTTTTATTAAGTTAAAAGATTTGCATAAATGACTTCAAAATTTGAAAGTTTGAGTTATTTAGCAAGTATTAAAGCTGTATCTTTTAAATTTCAAACTGATAGAAATTGCTATTGCGTGTATCTGATAAAGAAATATGCAAGAAGCTTGAAACAATAGATTTTATATTCGAATGGGATGTTACTTTTAAATATAATTAATTATATAATTAAATAGTACTAAATAAAGTTTGAAAAATTTGAAATACGAAAAGTAATAATTTAATCATGGCAATTTTATACTCAGTCGAATAGATATAATACGTAGTAGTATTATATTTTTGAATAAATTTTATGCCAGACAAAATAAATTTTACACATATAATTACAGAACCAGTACGAAAAAATCCTGCTGCCAGTAAGTTTGCATTAATCTCAATTTTAGTCAGACCGTTTCAAAATTTTAAATTCCATTTTATAAATGCGAATTTTATGATGAAAAAGTAAATTAAATCTAAGCATACTATCAAATTTGATATTTATTATATATATATATATTTGTATTTATGCATTTCCGAATTGCGATTCTAATTTATTTATCAATTTAAAATTTTACAACTATAAAAACCATAATTTTAATTCATTAACATTATGAATTCTTTAGAACATTCACGATCATTGTTTGTGATAGTGATTTTAATCATAAGTTTAATGGTTATGATTACATCCATAATACTTGTGGTTCTGATTAAATTTGGATTTATCCTTCAACAGCCAGCAGCACCATCGATAAGGAGAGGACAAATTGATCATGCTTTATGAATTTATTAAAACGTTGTAAATTCTTTATTCAAAATATGCTAAATTATGCATATATGCATTAATCTCTTTGCTTGTTTTCCACTTTTTATTTTGTTTTTTGGTTTTACGTCTAAAATATTCTTCTTCATTAAGGAAATTTTCTAATTCTGTGAAGGAAAAGGCTTATTACGAGCAAGTTTAATAAGTAAATAGAGCATTATTGAATGATATACGCAAGTTGAAATGTCACGTTTTCATATTTATTACTTTTGTATGCAGCGAAATTGATGAATGTCTTTATATACAAGCTTATTTTAGTAAGCTTAGCTTATTTATAAGTATAGGTTTATATGATTGATAAAATATACTAAAGCATTTTTATGCAAATAATGCATTGTAAGCAATCTTTTCAAATTTAAAAGTAACAAAAGTAATTCTATTCCTTTATTCAAGTGTTTTGACAAAAATAACCACTAGATTCAAAAAGATTGAATCTATTTTCCATTTTTACAAAATCAGAAAGAATTCTGATTTGAAATTTGTTCAAATATACAAAATTTATGTGCAACTGTGTGCGAATGAATGCTTTGAAATTTATTCATAATTTAGAGGCGTAAATAATAAGCACTAAAAGTTAACTTCACTTATAAATAAATGATTACTTATTTGTGAATATCATTCTCTGAGAACGCAATAAAAATTTACATTTTGAATGATCTTTTTGACTACAAAAAATGGAAGTAAAAGAAATTGAGTTAATTTCTCAAACACGTAAAATCAGACACGTAAAAAGTAACCTTACGGCTAAAATTGATAAAAAAGTTACTGAACACTCAGTAAAACATGATTTTGTTCATTACGGAATATGAATTAGATGATGTCTGCAAAGCAATTAACTTATCATCATTTAATAAGTTCATTTAATATATTTATTATTGTCATTTAATAAATAAGCTAGCTGATTATGATTTAAAATAATTTAAAAAAGACAATTAGAACTGCAACAGTCTCACAGACAAAACCTGATTATTACAATTAAGTAAAAGTTTTACTTCCAAAAATAGTCTAATCAATATTCAGTTTTCTGAAGTTTTCGTTGAAAATTTAAATGAATTACTGATTATTAATGTTAGATTATTATTTCGTCCAAATAAAAATAATTATTATTTAAGGCCATACTTGTACATTACAATAATTGAATTTTTTCCTAATTTAATTAAAAACTATCAAAATTTATCACTTATTTAAGAAGAAAAAAGTAATTATAAATGTATGTTCGATGGAAATTACAAAAGAAAGTTAGTCGAATTTGTTGCAGTGATATGTTTGAATGTGTATTTGAAATTTAGAATTTGAAAATAAAATATTGAAAAATAGCAAAAATAGTTTTATGTATCAAAAAAAGTACCAAAAACAAACAATTAAAAAAGAATTCTTTTAATAAATAACTTAAAAGTTACATAATAAATTGGATTATGAGAAAATATCGAGAAATAATAACGCATTTCAAGCAAAAATATGTGCAAAAAAATGCATTCTACTGGATCAAATGAATAAATTTGTCATATTTTCAAATTTTTGACCATTTTTGGCGCCAAACAATTATATTTGTATACAATTCAGTATGTCCACGCAAAGATATGCAACTACTTTCAGTTATGTAAAATTTTTGCAGTTGTTTCCGAATTGATCTTTCATTGCTAATTATAATTTATACTAATTGATTTTTATACTTTCTGGAAAAAATACTCTTCCTTACTTTGGATTGGACAAGTATGAATATTCTCGGCCTTACCGAAGTGCTGAGCGGTTGGCTCCAAGGTTGGCTCTGTGCGGTTGTGTTCAACGAACATAAATTGGCGGCTAAAAGTCTGGAACAATGAATGAAAACAATGCAAAGGTTGGGAAAAGCTATGTGAAGGGTGTAAAAGAACATACTCCCAGTGTACCGGAACCCAGTATCAGCAGAATGATCACGCTTGAAACAATCGTTTGTGAAATTGAAACCCCACGAGCCACGTGGCCAGGAGAAGTGCTGAAAGCGGTCCTTGAGCGATTTGGAAGAATGACGAGAGGGGGATGGCAA